AAACTAGTTTCCATTGAGCTCTACTTCTATTAACAAACAAAATTACAAGAAATTATTTTTGACTTTTTTGCTTGATAGCAAAAATTAAACTAAAAATGTTAGACTCCAAAATTTGACTCCAGACTCCACTCCAAACTCCACTCCATAACTCCTGAATTGTAGTATTTACATACATGTTTTGGGATGTAAATAATACGAGACAGAACGATATAACATCCAACTATATACACATGCAGATCAATTTGAAGACAGCGTGACAAACATAATAATATAAGAATAAATTTGAACATACTGTACATATGTTTGGGACATCCGTTATGTTGATCTGTCAATCACATGTTTATAAATGAAAACGAAAGTAGGTAAACACTGATTCGACGAGGTTCCAAGCGTCTAAGAGACGCGAACACGTGGAGATGTTTATAAACACGGTGTTTTACGATATTGGCGTCGAAGCAAGGAACTGTTCGTCTACGTTGTCATCTTGGAAACACTCTAGGTCCTCTGTTGTGTTTATCGATATTTTCTTCCCATGGTGACCACGGAGTTTCGCATAAATTCGACCGTCATACGTCCAGCAGCTGTCAAGTTTTTTTGTTTTTTACTACTTGGCGAGTTTTCCCATATAGTTCCGCCCGTCTGGACGTCAACGCTTCGTTGATGTAGATGGGTCCAGTTTGTTTTGTTGGGTTTTGGTTGTAGGATTTTAAATTTCGTTTGTTTGCATAAACTCTGGCTTTATCTCTATAACTAATAAATTTTCCTATAATGTCTCTGGTTTTTCGGCTTGGATCGTATTTGCCCACTCTGTGTGACCTTGAAATATCTTTGGTCGAGATTTTCTCATTGTTTTCATTTAGAACCAGGTTGTTGATGACATTCAGAACTAGCTTATCAGTAGATTCTTTTTGTTCTTCAGATATGCCAGTAATTTTTAGGCAATTTCGCCTTGAATATTGTTCCATTTCGTCGATTTTCGACGTGAGTTCATTTATTTCTTTTCTGAGTGAGCCTATCTCCGAGACAAAAACTCCAGCAAGAGCGTTTTTAAAGTTATCTTTATTGAGTATGAGAGTGATTGCCTGTTTGAAGGCGTTTTCATCCGAGGAAACGGAGTCTAACAAATCATTGAGTTTGCTTAGATCACCAGAGAGTAAGACGCTACTGTCCTGTCTGGCTCTCTTGCTTGGATTTAGCTCAGTATTGTCAGTGGCCATAGTGCTTTGCACGATGTATAAACAACAGAAGTATAGAAGCCTTGAAGTTCTAACGTAGTCTTGCTTATGAGTAGTGAGTAGGTGTTCACAATGGCGACATACACTCAATCATAGAAATAAGTTTTGGGGAATGGCTGTCACGAATAACTCTTAAATAAACTTTTTCAAGGCTTTTTTTTTGTTACATTTAACTTACATAGTTCCAGTAATCACTCATTCCTTGAATATCCTATTTCAAATCACTCAAAAAAGACAAACATTATCGGAGCCCCACAAAGTCCATCCTGTCTACATAGTGACGTCACACACCAGAAGATTGTATTTGCTGACAAAGCCATTTAATCGACCATAGAACTTACGAAATGATGACTTTAAAGGAGACTGTTGATATTCTTGTTTCATCAATTTGCTTGTCAATAAGTTACCCCTTTTAGAAATTGTTCGCTCCTAGAGCATGCTCTTGCGTATTGAATCAGCTGAGAGATATAAGCCCCGTATGCAGGTAATTATGGTATATTGCTGCATAAGAAAGAGAAGTTGACGATTGAAAAGTTAAAGTCATCGCGTTTATCATAAAGTTTCGTTGTTAGGTTACCATTTTCTAGTAAAATATCCAAATGTATGAAAAATATGTGTCAGATTCTGTGGTATCTTTTCAAGCTCACAGGGATATATCGTGTCGACATATGAATGGAAGTAATATTGTTAATTGATAATACGTCCTCGATATATCTAAATGTCGAGTTGAAGGCCACAGCAAGTGTTTTCTTCCTCTCATGTAGAAGATTTTGAATATTTTTTTCTTCATATGAAAAAAAACGAGTTTTGCTTATAACGGTGCGCAATTGGTACCCATGGAAGATTGTTGGAAGACCTGGTCTCCAAAAATCACATAGATATTGTCAATCAGAAACTCAAGCATCTTTTTAATATTAACTTCAGAGTACATGTGTGTACAATCAGAATGTTTTATAACAAAATAATTTTGCAAATGACCGTCCAATGACAAGATAAGTAAATTTACGAGTTCCATTTTTATTTAAAAAGCAGCTGTCAATGATGACAAAAAATCTGAACTTTAATTTATCGTGGGGCATGGTTGTACATACAGTTGAAAAGTCTTAAGTTTTGATGTTATTTATTTTGGTAAAAAAGAAAAATTATTTTTCTTTTGGATAATAAATGAAATTAAATTCATAAATTGCTATTTAAGCAAAAACTCTCATTCTAAAACCATTATATACATCCAAACATAGGTAATCAGAGATAACACAGCTCACCTAAAGGAATGTTGTCTTTAAGTAAGTCCCAATGTCCCAAACTAATAATCTAGTAGTGTGCATCCCTAGATGTAATATTTATGCAATTTTGGTCCGATAGGGCTTGCAGTTACTTCGAAATGGACTCACATGTACCTAAAACTTTAAACTAGTCACTCATCCAGAAAATGTAAGTCATATCCATCACCTGAAGCAAGTTTGAGAGTGTTCATCCATGCAAGTTTGGTTCAGATAGCCTCTATAGTTTACTTTAACCTGGTCACTCATCTGGAAAATGTAGGTCAGATCCAGCATCCGAAGCAAGTCCAGTGGTGTGCATCCTTAAATGTATCATCCATGCAAGTTTGGTCAATATAGGGCTTATAGTTACTTGGAAATGAGACCTGCTCTAAAAACTTTAACCTGGTCACTCATCCGGAAAATGTAGGTCAGATCCAGCATCCGAAGCAAGCCTGGTATTGTGCATTCTTACATGTATCACCCATGCAAGTTTGGTCAATATAGGGCTTATAGTTACTTGGAAATGAGACCTGCCCCAAAAACTTTAACCTGCTCTAAGAACTTTTACCTGCTCCAAAAACATAAACCTAGTCATTTTTCAGCTGAAATTGCAGCATCTGAAACCTTGACTGGTACAATGAAATATACTAGAAGCATTCTCCATGCATCTCTGATTAATATAGGGCACCGAAGTACTTGAAAAGAAAACTGCACCAAAAACTTTAACCTGGGACGATGACTTCGACTCCGAGGGCAGGGTTCTCCATGAGCAGTTTTACTGTGACGGCCCCGACACAGCAAAATTTTCCCCGACACGTAACGATTGAAATTTTATGAGTGCGACACAGTAAAAATTTTGCAACACAGTAAGATCTTTGATAATCAGAAAATCAGATAATAAATTCTCTCTACCTGAAACTTTAATCAAACAAATGTACCGTCTTTCAAATTTTAAGGCACATCACTTAATTATCTCTTAATTAGGGCACTTTGTCTTGCTTCACCTTGCATAATCAATTATCTCCTAGACCTTCGCTAGACTTTATCGCATGAAGGAACATAGACAAATAATTTGTTTTCACACTTCCATGTAACCGTATAATTGCTAGTTGTATTTTTAAATATTATTTAAAAATTTATTATAAATTATGTCTATATACTTCAGGACCACGTCTCTAGAATTATGTTGGCACTGTCAGTCAAACCGTAATCATTTCACTGATGTAAATGTATTGTTGAAGAATTTAAAGACACCCTTAAAAGTATTTTACTATTTTGAAGTTTCTTTTCTTAAAATTGTAAATTCGATCAACCGACAAAAATTCGGCAAATTTACTTTTAAAGTGGGGAAGTAGATCGATTTTATCGACAAGAATTTCCTTTTCTCTTCAAAGCATCTGTAAAATATAAATATACATTGTATATACAAAAATAAAAAGGTTTAATATATACGTACAACTTGTAGACAGTGAAACAAGTATATTATTTAAGTCTTTTTTTAATACCGTACTTATTTTTTTAAGTTGTGTGTTGTGTATGTGGGGGTGGGGTGGGGGTTACAGTCGGTTTGTCTTGTAGTACATTGTATGTACATAATTATACGGAAAAATTCTAATTGTTTTAAATATCCATTCCACTAATTTATTTTTTATTAATATGTACGACCATACCATTTGTATAACGAATTGGTGATTCAAAAAAGTTGGGGGGGGGAGGGTGTGTGTGTGTCCTTTCGTAATTATAATGAATAGTGGCTCGGTTGCGAATTTGATCGCGAAAAGACCGCGAATATTAGTGGTTAACGTAAAGTCTGCAAAAAACAGAAAATTTTCAAATGATGGAGAACCCTGGAGGGTATTACATAAGCTCCCCCAACTTCGTTGAGGTGAGTTAAAAAGTATCGAAAATCATTGATACTTCAATTTATGTATTGATGTACCATATCGATCCCTTCTGCATCAAAATAAATCGATTTATCGATGTATTAGTACAATAATTACCAAGCCAACTATCACAGGTACATGAGGTATGTCAGATTATGAAGAAACATATGTAGGACTTTCTTCCCTTTAAGCTCTTTGTTCTGGGGTTAGCAATTTATCATTATAGAAATGCAATTTACTCGTAATTTGAGCAATCAACTTTAGCAGAATTTTAGGACCAATTATTTAAAAGTCAGAAGTAAATGGCATTCGCTAGATGCCACCAGTTTGTAAATTACAAGTCTGGTATAAATACAAATTACCATCATTTATTCAACGAATGTATCTCGTTAAAACCTGTTTATTAGCTGCAATATGTTGACAACCCACCACAATCCCTCCCTCTAGAAAAAAAAATCAAGTTATATCTATGAGCATTCGATTTTCATTCTTTTTGATTATTAACATTTTTAAAATTCGGTAGCTTCCAACATTGAATTAACATTTCCACGGGAAAATAAGCTACTTTCTACCAGCTAGACATTAAACGTAATTTGTTGTAGTCTAGTAGAGCATGCTAATTTTTCATTCCGTTAAAAATGCAAATTGTCCCACGATGAAAATTGCTGAGAAGGAAATGTTAATTGCAATACATATGAAACTAACTCCATTTTCATTTGGAAATCACTCGCCACCTTGAATCGTACAACCTCGATTAATTAGGCGTAACAACTAATGATTATTGATTAATGCCACTGGGTTAATGACTGTGAAATTTTGGTATTCAATGAAGATAGATGACAATAGAACCTGTCATTGGCATCAACTTAGTTTGAATTCATCTACGAATTTCTAATTTTTCAAAAAATGTCACAAAAATTTACATGCATTTTCGTTGGAGTTGTGATTATATGCGTGTGCATTGGTAAGTATGATTTTTATATATTGTAGCTTCGACATGAATATTCAGTCGTATGTGATGTTGTCATAAATGATTGTTGGATTGTTAATACTAGTGCATTTTTTCTTCTTTTTTTCCTTAATTCTTTTTTCTCTTTTTCCTGAAATGTTAAATGCAGACACATAATTCCAATCATTGCTTCAGATAAAAAAAATTATGAAATAAGACTATCACTGTTAGGTAAACATATTTTCTGTCAGTATTGTATGTTACTTTTCTTTCCATGTGCAGGTTATTAACGTTTGTGTCTGTTTGCTTATAGACATGTTGCCTTGATGTTTATCATCGATAATAAATTTCATGACTGACATTTTTATGCACTTTGCGGGGTTTGTTCTTCCTTTGGATATTTTTTTCATCATTTTAGGACCAGATATATTTCTATCATGTATTATCGGAATCGTATTTTTATATATTTATTCAAACACTTCATCAGAATCAGTGTTGTATCTCTTAGGAATTTATACAAAATAGTGAATTAATTTGCGTGTTTACTGGAGACATTTATCTTTTTACAACATTCTTAAGGATATAAAATGCCAAAATATTCATATGACCATTTGAGGCCAGAGTATAATTGCCAAAACTTTAGACGAAGTTTATAAAACGTAATATTTCATGCCGGTGCTTCTTAATGAAAATCATAACCATAACAAATGACCTAATATTACAGAGGTATGTTCTAATTTAAAAGTCCTCAAAAAAGCGAACAACAAACATTTATTATAGATAATGTATCTGCATTTATCCAACTGACCGTAAATAACAATATGGCTTTCTTGTATTGTACTTCAAGCAGAGTATTAACCTTATTGCTGATTGCCATAGATATATATATATATATATATATATATATATATATATATATATATATATATATATATATATATATATATATATATATATATATATATATATATATATATATATACAAATTCTGCGTATTCAGTCAGAAGTGTAAAACTATGTAGGTGAATAATTGAATAACGAATCTCCTAATCAAATTGCATTATATTGTCTAGTTTTGGTTTCGAACAACTAAAACTTGCAATCTTGTTGATTCTAGGAGAGGTTTGCATATCTGTTTGCCTAGTTTTGGTTGTTTTATTCTAGAGATTTTAAATATAGTTATTATTCCTTTATAAAATTGTCAAGTCAAAATGCCTTTTTCTGTCAAAGTTTGAAGGTGTAGTTTTATATGAAAATCAGATTTCTTTTAGAGAAGCAGTAAATATAAGGATGAATTCTTCTTGAATTCATTATATTTAAAAATTAAGGATTTTTTAAATACCTTTTCAAAACTACAACGCCATAAAAGACGTTTTAAGTTACATCAAATTTGACCGTTGTATTTTAGTAGCAAGGACAGGCCAAGGTCACTCTATTTTTTCTTATCTTTAAATATAAAAATTACTGTAGCCAATTACGTGATAAGTATTTCGATTATAAGATATAATATGCTTTAGTTTTTGATAATACAAAAAAAAAAAAAAAAAAAAAAAAAAAAATTCCAGGCCTATCAGATAATTACGGAAGCCCGTTGAGGCCAGTTCATAGAAAGAAATATTTTTTATTGCGTTTAAACGCTATAAGTATTGCGTTTAAACGTAAAACATTGCGTTTAAACGCAAAACGCTTTGCGTTTAATCGCAAAAGATTGCGATTAAACGCAATCCTTTGCGTTTAAACGCAATAACTTTGCGATTAAACGCAATAGTTTTTGTGTTTAAACGCAATAATATTTTTGCGTTTAAACACAATGATTTTTGCGATTGAACGCAATAGTTTTTGCGTTTAAACGAAATAATTTTGCGATTAAATGCAATACTTTTGGATTAAACGCAATAATTATTGCGTTTAAACGCAATATTTTTGCGTTTAAACGCAATAATCTTTTAGTTCAAAGGCAATAATATTTGTGTTTAAAGGCAGTCATTTTTATCAAACCTTGCAGAGTACAGTGGATCCACGCATACTTATATCTTTTTTTTTTTCTTTTAACTTATGAGGAAATTGCCTATTGTTTAGCTTTATAAAATCAGGATTCTCCGAGCAAACGCTCTCTTAAAGGATAAATCACTAATAAGAATTTTTAGAGGAGAAAAAAATGTCGGGTTTTAAAAACAAAGGCAACCTAAGAACGAGACATGTCTTAAGCTTATTATTCTCTACATTCTTAATGAAGTTTTGGTCAGTTGCTCTGTTAAAAAATACTGTCCCCTACGTTGCGGTCACAAGTTTAACCCATGTATAAAGGGATTTTTGGAAAGGACTGAGGAAATATTGGAATTACGTACAACATGATGAAGTATTTAGACTTTAAGGTTAAGATCTAGTAAATGAAAGGAGCCTACAGATTTTTCAAATTTGAGAGCTGAATTCCTTTTATGATGCTTTATAACTATGGCTTGGTCAAATAAGGTGTATCGGGGTATAATTTATAGGTAAACAAGATGAAAACTCATATTTTAAACTGTCATTTTCAATGAAAAATTAAGAAAGTTAGTCATGAATATGGAGGTTTTTGTCATATCAGACAAATGAAATGTATCCAGATTGCCTACAGTCTCTCAGAAAACAGTAATTTGTATATTCTGAGCCTCTTCTTTGAAATAATGTAAAATTGAATATAGGAACCGGGATTACTTTTTATACGATTTCAAATTGAACGCCATGAAAATACCTTATCTTCTACATAAGTCTATTAGAGTCGCAAAGTACGGGAAAAAGAAAGTTGGAATTGATTATGACGTCATAATGGATCTAGCACCAAAAAGACATTCTAGAGTCATTTACTAGATCTTGACCTTAATGTACATTCATAACCCTTCCTATGGTTGCATACAGTAAACACAAGAACATATGTGATGGATTTATATGAAATCAAAATCAAATGAAAACAGACTGATCGATGTGCACTACATATATCAAATTGACAACGCGAAGTGCTATTAATACCACTGAAACATTCTCTATAAGTTGTGATAAACGTAAGCAATAGGTCAGAGACTTCATTAAGAGTTTTTGGTTCTAATACATTTAAGACATTCAGGTTGTTAGGATGCCATTGTTTTACTACAATTTTCAAAAACTGGAAAATTTTGCAAAAAGACACAGAACAAATCGGATCTTCTTAAAGTTGAAGTGTCGGGTCCTAGTACCTGTACATGTAATTATAAGCTTTGACTAATTCATGTTTGATTTTGAAACTACAGTATCATTGTGTTTAAATGCAAAAAAAATCCTTATAAGGAAGGATTATTGCGTTTAAACGCAAAGATCATTGCGTTTAATCGCAAAAAATTATTGCGTTTAATCGCAATACTATTGCATTTAATCGCAATACTATTGCGCTTAATCGCAATACTATTGCGTTTAATCGCAGAAATAATTGCGTTTAAACGCAAAAATATTGCGTTTAAACGCAAAAATATTAGTGCGTTTAAACGCGAAAACTGTTGCGTTTAATCGCAAAAGTATTGCGTTTAAACGCAAAAGATTGCGTTTAATCGCAATCTTTTGCGTTTAAACGCAAAGTGTTTTGCGTTTAAACGCAATGTACATTGCGATTAATCGCAATCTTTTGCGTTTAAACGCAATAAAAAATATTTCTTTCTCTGAACTGGCCTCAACGAACTTCCGTAAGGCCAGTTCAGAGAAAGAAATATATTTTATTGCGTTTAAAGGCAATAAGAATTGCGTTTAAACGTAAATCATTGCGTTTAATCGCAATAATCATTGCGTTTAAACGCAAAAACTGTTGTGTTTAATCGCAAAAGATTGCGATTAAACGCAATCTTTTGCGTTTAAACGCAATAATTTTGCGATTAAACGCAACAGTTTTTGCGATTAAACGCAATAATTTTTGCGATTAAACGCAATAGTTTTTGCATTTGAACGCAATACTTTTGCGATTAAACGCAATAGTTTTTGCGTTTAAACGCAATATTTTTGCGATTAAACGCAGCAGTTTTTGCGATTAAACGCAATGATTTTTGCGATTAAACGCAATAGTTTTTGCGTTTAAACGCAATACTATTGCGATTAAACGCAATACTTTTGCGATTAAACGCAATAATTTTGCGATTAAACGCAATACTTTTTGCGTTTAAACGCAATAATCTTTTAGTTCAAAGGCAATAATCTTTGTGTTTAAAGGCAGTCATTTTTATCAAACCTTGCAGAGTACAGTGGACCTAAGCATACTTATATCTTTTATTTCTTTCTCTTTTTACTTATGAGGAAATTGCGTATTGTTTAGCTTTATAGAATCAGAATTCTCCGAGCAAACGCTCTCTGAAAGGATAAATCACTAATTAGAATTTTTAGAGGAGAAAAAAATGTCGGGTTGTAAGAACAAAGGCAACCTAAGAACGAGACGTCTTGAGCTTATTATTCTCTACATTCTTAATGAAGTTTTGGTCAGTTGCTCTGTAAAAAAATGTCCCCTACGTTGCGGTCACAAGTTTAACCCATGTATAAAGGGATTTTTGGAAAGGACTGAGGAAATGTTGGAATTACGTACAACATGATGAAGTATTTAGACTTTAATGTACATTCATAACCCTACCTATGGTTGCATACAGTAAACACAATTAAGAACATATGTGATGGATTTATATGAGATCAAAATCAAAATCAAATGAAAGCAGATTGATCGATGTGCATTTCATGTATCAAATTTACAAGTGCTATAAATACCACTGAAACATTCTCTATAAGTTGTGATAAACGTAAGCAATTGATCAGAGACTTCATTAAGAGTATTGGGTTCTAATACATTTAAGACATTCAGGTTGTTAGGATGCCATTGTTTTACTACAATTTTCAAAAACTGGAAAATTTTGCAAAAAGACTCAGAACAAATCGGATCTTCTTAAAGTTGAAGTGTCGGATCCTAGTACATGTACATGTAATTATAAGCTTTGACTAATTCATGTTTGATTTTGAAACTACAGTATCATTGTGTTAAAATGCAAAACAAATCCTTATAAGGAAGGATTATTGCATTTAAACGCAAAGATTATTGCGTTTAATCGCAAAAACTATTGCGTTTAATCGCAAAAGTATTGCGTTTAATCCGAAAAGTATTGCGTTTAATCGCAATACTATTGCGTTTAATCACAAAAATTATTGCGTTTAAACGCAAAAATTATTGCGTTTAAACGCAAAATATTATTGCGTTTAAACGCAAAAAGTGTATTTAATCGCAAAAGTATTGCGTTTAAACGCAAAGTGTTTTGCGTTTAAACGCAATATACATTGCGATTAATCGCAATTTTTTGCGATTAAACGCAATGATTTGCGTTTAAACGCAATGATTTGCGTTTAAACGCAATAATTATTGCGTTTAAAAGCAATAAAAAATATTTCTTTCTCTTAACTGGCCTCATTTGGCTTCCGTAGATAATACTACCAAACTGAGATGAATATTTTAACTTGAAAAGATTTATATATATAGAAATATTTGAATTAATTTTATTTTCATATACAAGATGTCTTAAAGAGATAAAAAAAAATTATTGATATTTTAAAAAAAGAAAGATTTTACCTATTTTTAATTCAAATCTGATAATAGGCTAAAAGCTGATCAAACTAGAGGAGTTTGTTTATGAAGTTTATGAAGACATTTACTTAGTATTTGTTATTTTCTAAACATTAAGACACAAAGTCAGAAAATCCTTTAAGACTTTGATTGTTTCAAAATGTGAAATGAATTTATTATTCTGTAGTATTTGAAAAGTAAAACGTGTTATTTTCCTACGCTGCTGTTCTGCCAAAATTTTTGTCCCTGCACATGTAGATTCCTGTATAAAGTTGTATCATTGTAGAAGAAAAGACAAATGTTTTCTTTAATTCCTAACTTCTCAATGAAATATAGAGATAACTAACATTAATCAAGCTCAAAAGTCCATTGACACAATACACATCGGGAGCAGAGCAAACAGGGACCTCTAAAACATAAGAGGTTGGACCAGATGCCATGGAGGAGTAAGCATCTCAAGTAAAATAAATTTTGAAATTTAAGAAAATATTCTTTGAATAGTTTATCTAGTCAGAAAACTGACTGGAATTCCTCATGAAAGCAAAACTTGATTTGAAACAGAGTGACGATGAATCTAAAGGATTCACTCTATTCTAGAGTAGCGAAATAAAGAGTTGATCCTTATACGTCGGGTTTGAAACCCAATGTGGAACGTGAAGAACGGACCTTCGGATGAGACCGTATAAATATAGATCATTTGTCGCAGAAGGAGTAGGTATAACAAAAATCCCTCACTGCTCAATACCCATAAGTGCCGAGTACAGGTCTAAATTTGCAGCCTTTTACTGGCATTTTGCTGGCGACCCTGATGAATGTAAGTACAATATATTCCGAAGTGTATGCATAGTAGTATGTAAAGAATACGTGCACAGGCGAGCGAGAAGCAAGGGGAATGGAACTAATGTTTAAAATTGATTGTTTATATGTTGTTTTACGTCCCGTTCGAGAAATTTTCACTCAAATAGAGACGTCAGCATATACAGGCGAAGGACTTCAAATTTAGACCTCTACGTGGCACTGGGAGAATCTTTATCGTGCCAACGCCTGCCGTGACATGGGGACACGGTTTTTTCGATCATCCGAAAGAGCCGCAACTTTCACTTCAAAGTGCCAAGTGTTTGGCGAAGGAACAGTTGCTATCTATTGTTTTTTCAACTTAGGTCAATCGCGGCCGGAGTTTGAACCCACGACATTCCGATCACGGGATGAGCGCTCTACTGACTGAGCTTAATGTTTAAGATGACTATGCACAGTTGTCCTTAGAATTAGTTGTTCTCCTTTTTCAGGTTATCCAGATATGCCGGAGGAACTCTTATTGAAATCCTTGTTTCAGAAATACAACAAGAATGCTCGTCCTGCCACAGTTTCTGCACCAGTTGTTAACGTGGACCACAGCATGGACTTCATTCGTATCAACAGCTTTGTAGGTATTATATGACGTGAATAAATCTATGTAATACAAGCAAATATATAAGTAAAAGTTCTTGCCAAATGTAATAGATAAGAAGATTATTCACTAATTATAAACTAATTTAGATAGGTATGTGTCCTTAAGATAGGTAAGTGTCCTGAATCTTCTCTCCAAGAATGTTCTGCACCAACATGAAATTTACTCAGTGATTATTAAGAACATGTCAAAATGTGAAAGATTTACACATTTACAACAGATAGGCAAGATAATCCAGAAAAAGTCCAAAACACCTCTGATCACAAGAACTCGAGTTTATCCTGCTAGTTCTGGAGGCCTACAAGTGTTCTTTATATTCTTAAGAAATATCTCTCTGAAATACTGACTTATGTTTACTTTTATATTAGAGAGATTCTACTTTAAAGAGCGATGTCTGGGTGACAATGAGATGGCAGGATCCACGTCTTATATGGAACCCAAGTAACTTTTTTGGTCTGACATCATTCAGCATCGGATCTGACCAAGTATGGACGCCAGATGTGGTCTTATATAATGGGTATACGTTTAAAATCAAATCTTTTCCTTATATATATTTAGTCTGCGTAAAATAATATTCTTTTTTGACTGACAAGCCATTCCAATTTTGTTACTTCGTTCTTTTCAAAGATAAAACATATTTTTGTAAATTTTATAGTGTGGGTGACATACAAAAGGCTGATCTCTCCAGAAGAATTGTTGTCAATAACAACGGCATGATACTGTGGCTTTTTCCTGCTCAGTTAGAGAGTACATGTGTCACCAGAAACCAACAAGGAGAGAACGTGTGTCGTCTAAAGTTTGGCTCCTGGACGTACAACGGACTACAGTTAAACCTCACTCACTCGGACAAACAGTTAGGCATGTCCAACTACTATCCAAATCCGGACTGGGAAATCACCAGCACCAATTCCATGCGTAACGTGATGATGTACCCATGTTGTCCTGAACCGTACCAAGATGTTTCTTATCAAGTGTCATTTAAAAGTTCTTTAAAGGGATAAGTGGATTTGACAAGTTTATACGTCTTGCGCATAATTTATACATGTTATATGATATGTGTTACTAAAGTTCACCCCTAAAAGTTTTAATGAATATAAATTTATTTTTTTTTAAAATCTTTTTTTTTTTCATATGCAAACTTTCTACTGGTCTCATTTGTCCAGGATATTTTGTCGCAAAGTTTGTTTCATACCTTCCTAGTGATGTGCTGTTTTGGTTTTTGCTATCACTAGTGATATCACCAGGTCGAAGAAATAATCATATTTTGAAAATCCTTAACACAGCACACTACAGAGTTCTAATTTCATGGTAGATATATGCAGTAAGAGTGATCTTCCCTTTGATGTAAGGATGATCTGTAAATTAATAGATAGCATAACGTCAGACTAAGATAAATAACAAAGGAGAGAAAGATTGGCATTAGCTGCAGATATGTATCTCAACAGTATCGAAAAAATGGATGGACGATCATGGTCGATACGATTATCCATTCTATTTTTAGACGACCGACCTACATATCTTCAGGGTGCTTGACATGACCCCACTTTAAATATCAATTGACTACACACTTTTCTCTCTGTTACACTACATTCTACCAAAAAGGTTGAATTAGTGTGCATTTATTTTACTTTGAAGTGTGTCACTAAAATGGAAATCAAGACCCTCTTTTAAATTTTTCAAGATAAATAAAAATAATTGATAATTCTTTTTTCTTTTTGTTGTTGTTGTTGTTGAGGTTCATTAAATTATTTAAGCAGCATTTTCTTCTTAAATTAGCCACTAGGGTAGTCTTGACCATATCGCAACCATACTTGCCGAAAAGCATACTTGCGTGATGTGAAAATAAAACTTATTCAAACAAAAAAAAAGGGGGGAGGTTAAGTCCCCTTTTAAATGGAAATAATGAAAAAGTTTTGAAAATAGTTAACCAATCAGCTGCAAACGTCTTTATAGTGAAGGTTCCATGTGTAATTTCAAATTTGGCTGAATGAAATGTGAAAATAACGAAGAGTGATCATGCTCAATATCTATTTACACAATACAAACTGTGAACAGAGCCACACGGACCTCTAAAAACACAGGTGCCATGGAGGTGTAAGCATTCACTGTCGATCGGTCAACATGCCGTGTGCCCCTTGTCATGATCGTAAGTAACAAGTAAGTAAGAAAATAATAACCTAGCAATTTGAAAGACGTCAGTCAACATTCGACTAAACGACAGATTTTATTTGCAAATAAGATCATTGTGTCGAACATAGAATTTGCAAAATGTTGATTTTAAAGGAGATTATTGATATCTTTGTATCATCAACTTATTTCTCAATAGGCTGTCTCGTTTTTGAAATTGTTCGTACGTAGAACATGCTCTTGTGTATCGAACCAACTTGGAGGCATAAACTCCATATGCGTCTAAAATTTTACAAGAATAAAAAATAAATAAAACAACATTGTATGGCTCAGGGGAAAAAAGCAGTGACAGTCGCATGACTATTAGGACTTTTCGAGTTTTAGAAAAATGAAAAAAGGCCACCAAATTTAATTTTCTATTAATTTGTATCCAAATTGTTTACCAATCTTCAATTTAAAAAAGTGAAAAACTGTGTATAAAGTGAAATAACGTTCACATGTATTTTTAGAGAGGTAAATAATAAAATTAAAACGTTATTAAATAAAATTAAGTACCGGTATTTACAAATTATCTGAAAAAGAATTCCAATTCATCGATCCTGAATTTTTATGCTGTTCGAGGGAACAAACATGATCATTTTGGCTTTATTTCAAGAATAGGGGAAGAGAATTCATGACTTTTCTTAACCAACAATGCAATTTAAAATTGCGTAAAGAAAATTAGGTTCTTTAATTATTAATCCTTAAAATCTGAACCTTGGGAAACTGAATACATGTTCAAATAAAGAAAAAGGCGTCTTTTCCTTTAAACTTTTATTCAGGAGTAACAATCTTGTAACTAAGAAATTCAGTTTGAAGAAGAAAAAAACGAACAGACATCCGTGAAAATACCCAAAATAATTCTAAATGATTTTTTTTTTCAATGCCTGCAGAATTGTGCTTTTATGATCTTAAATTTCTTTTAATGATAACCAGATTTGGTTCTTTTTATATGTTTATTGCATTCAGATATCAAACAACAATAATAATGGTATAATAATGGCAGTGTGCTGTATAAATGAAAAATGTAGGGAAAAAAAAATGATATTACTTACATACGAGTATGTAAATCCACATGATTGCAATGATGCATTAATCAAAAATAAATAAAAATAAATATACATAAGACATACAGTTGACCTTTTCATTATAATATATTACACTCATAATTAATTGACATTTATGAATAAATATATATGAGGAATATGCTTGATATAAACCTTACCTCAAATAGGGCAAAATGCACACAAAAGGTCAAGGTCACAATGTGTATTGGACACAGTGATACAACCTAATAAAATCAATGTATCTATGTAACCCCCTTCATACCTGTAAATAATAACACAATTTTTTATGTCTTACGAGGGGTTCGTAGACTGATTCGATAAAATTAATACTACGTAGTCTATGCTTACAAATTTTTTAAGGAACATAAAACAACAAATGTTAAAGAAGTGTAGAAAATTTTAGCTTGATACGTCGATAATTTTCTAAATTATCATAAAATAAAAAAGACATTATATGATTACCCGGCGCTGTCGCTGTTTAGTTTGATGACGTCTGACAACGTCATTGTTTCTCAATGCCCGCTCCCTCTACCTCATACATTTATCTTAATTGATGATATTCCCTGGAGTTAAGTAAATACTTCAACCCGTCTTGTTTATATGACTTTACAATGTCATGAGCAGCTGATTTCATTCATAATATTGTAAATGGATCCATACACAGTGAACGATCCTCACTTGATTATAACAGCATAATTTGCTTGTCGGAATTCAATATCTATCACACATGATCAACGTCAGTTTTCGACGTGACAAACTTAAAACACCCTGACTTCTAATCGACATTTACTGTGCATCTTTCATCTCTCTAATCTTTTTCGGCATTTGAAAAGGTACTCTGGATGCATTTTATTTCTCTGTTGCCCGTTCAAACATTTCCTAGGTCTTTGCCAATTTTTCCAGGGGTGAAACTTTATAGTATGTTGGAAAAGGAAACCCCCTCCCAGTTTGTGATGTCATTATACAGCCCCTTAATTGTTTAGATCTTGCAAAAAAAATTTACAATAAAAAAATTAAAGTGCCTACAGAATTGAGTAAAAATTGCAAATTTTACAGTACAATTGTGTCATACCACATGAGTGAAATAACGGGAATTTTGGATGACAAATTCTCATAACAAACGCGTTTTTTCTCGGTTACACTCATGTAGAAAAAACGTCATCTTCGAGGTTTCGCCGTCTGGACATATCAATGCTTACAAAAATATCAACAATTCATTTAAAAATAATACATATGATTTATAAACTATTATATGAATAGAAATTCAAAAGATGATGCTAACTTAATGTTTAAAAATTCATTGATGTACCTTAAGCGGTTTTAATTTTATGGCGCTAGTCCACGAACTTTTTGATAACCACTCGTATGTAATAAGTCTGAACTTCATACTATAATAAGCATGACTAGAATTAAGTAGCAAACATGAAAACTTTCATCAACAAATACATGGCTTAAATTTATTCTATTAAAAAATATAAACTTACAACTGGTATTACGGACACTGACACCTAGAGTATGTCTTCAACGGTCTTGCTTCGTAGCGCGAAACATTTCGTGCAAAATCATTTATTTAACTATGAAATCACGTTATCACAGGAAGTGAAGTTGAAATTTATCAAAATATTAAACAATACATTTAACTTAAAACTTATATGCATTTTCCATACTTATTTGAAAAATGATAATTACAAAATATATTTTAAATGAAACTCTTTAATACTTTAGCTTAATAAAAGTTTTGTTACTAAAAATAGATGTGGAAATTACCCTCAATGACAAACAGCATATGATTTCTTTATTCTGTAAATTCTTGGATCCACGCCTTGGCTGATGTACTAGTATTCTATCTGCCAGATATGTAAGTGTATTTGGAACGACTTTACTTTACCGGTCCCCAGAAAAACGCGCTAAAATATAGTGTCGCCGTAGGCGACTTCAATATATATGAGATCGCGTGAGCGATCGAAAAAAATAAAAAATATGAGGTTTTAAGCCTTTTTGACCCCACATTCGAATTCTACGGTTAAAAGTTTAGTTTAAAACTTCGTTTATAAACGAAGTTTTTAACCTCGTTTTCTGAAAAAAAGTAATAAATGTTGTTTATTCAGTGAAAAGGAGACAAAAAATAATTGTGAGCGAAGCGCGTGCGGCGCATGCTTAGTGCCGTTTCTTTCGTACTTGGCCATTTTTTTCATGTAAACAAACCAACGAGATGTCGTTGAAGCTGAATTAAGATCTTGCAAAAAATACAGACGCAACTGAATTTCTTAATTAATCTAAAAGAACAAGACACTAACCCTAATCTCTTGGATGGTATGCGAGGACTAACCCAAATCTCCCAGGCGGATGCTAGACCATGCTAGACTAACCCATGTGCGAGGACTAACCCTAATCTCTCGGATATATGCGAGACTAACCCTAATCAGTCGAAAACTTATGCAAGGACTAACCCTAATCTTTCAGGTGGGTGCAAGACTAACCCTAACCAGTCGAAAAATGTGCAAAACCAACCCTAATCAGTTGAGTGACGTAAATCTTACGTCATAGTGCAATGAGCGCGCGGATCTTGCGGATCTGGGGACCGGTAAAGTAAAGTCTACCCGTGTATTTTGATACACACACGCTGCATGACCACCATTTACGCAAAACATAATTATTTTGATGACCCGGCCCATCACCACCCAAACGATGCTTCCACTCCTGTCTAGTTTTTTTCTTTAAGATGACCCATTTTGTTTAATATTAATACAATAGATAGCTCATTCTTTGGGGACGAGAAGTAGTTTTGTTTACATCTTTATAGCGAGCGCAGCGAGCTAAATAGACTAACGTGTAAGAACAGAGGAAATTCGGACTGAAATCTGTACATTTTTTGGGCAACATTCCCAGAATTCCTTCGCTACCATGATTCCATGCGAAATTATTACAAACATATAAAAGACGAAGGATAATTGTTCCTTACCAAGAGATACCTTTATTTTTCTTTCTTTGCAGAGAGCTTAAAAGAAACAAAAAATAATTGCATCTACTCTACAATATATTTCATTAACTATTGCACAAGACCTGTAGTCTCGTTCAACCAGACGCTCTGCTGTCTCCGTAAATTCCAACGTCAATTGACATCACAGTCTAGACTGTGTCTCCTGCGGTCTGAAGTTTGAAGAGGCGGATCAACATTATAAGTGTAAGCTGTGTATAGGCAACTGCGCTTGCCCCAACGGTCCCACCGTAAAACATATTCGGAAATCGCGCGACGTCAATTGACGTCACAGTCTAGACTGTGTCTCGTGTGGTTTGAAGTTTGAAGAGGCGGATCAACCTTACAAGTGTAAGCTGTGTATAGGCAACTGCGCTCGCCCCAACTGTCACACCGTAAAAAATATTTTGGAAATCGCGTCATCATCAGATCGCCAGTCTTTACTGCCATTGAAACATTTTATTCACTTTATGGCCTCACATGAGGCATAAAAGTAC